CTCCATGATCACAGTTAGAGTGTGAACTCGGATATTGATTGAACACGTAAAACTAAGTAGGAAGAAAATGAGTTTTCAATAATTCCTTCATCTTCGCTCATGATCAGATTTTTTGCTTCTTCTGATAGGCTCAATCTTAGCATAATGATTGTCACAAAAAAACTGCTTTACCCTTAAGTTGGTAGGCTACTTCTTAATTTTCTGATCTTCTGCAATTTCCAAGTACTCAAAAAATATCTCCACCTCATCAATCCAATTTAAGAAAATCCTCTACATTGAGTTTTCCGTTAAAAGATAGTAAATCAACCCTCATGTTTTCGGTATCATAGAATCTCATCTTGAGTAGTCTCGACGACCATGATTTTGGCGCGTTGCTTTATACTCATCGATGTCACTGTTGAATTCTTTCTATAGAGTCTTATCACATCTTTGACAACCATCAACGCGATCTCAAACTCGACCCATTTTCAGACACTCCATTGCCAACGCAAGTCGGCCCGTGTGAGTTCAAATCTGAGTTCAAGTAATAGGGGCTTTGTTGCTTGCAACAAGATCAGAAATAAGGTCTCTGGTTCTAATTAACCCAGCGCGAAAATTAAAAATCTCAAAATCCACTAAGGGGTGTTCTTTGAATCGACAAAGATCAATCTTCGAATCCACAAAGAGACAACCTCGAATACATGAAGTAAATAAAAGAGAATTTTATTGATGAAATGTTATCTTTTTTTAGGGATACATGTCTCTTCTTAAATAGACTCCTAATAGATCTAGAATTACAAAGAAATAGAAAGAATCAAATCCTACCCCAAACAAAGACTCCCTATGATTGAGGAAATTATTGGTCATATCTGAGATTAAACCGGATTTGTTTCCTAATCAAAGCGAGAGTCAAATTTATTACTTAAAATAACCTAAAGGCTGATTATTTCTAAAATTCATACAAAAACCAGTGACAATGATGGGCTTCTAGGAATTTGCCAAGTTAATCGGTTCTATCTCGTCTAGATTGGCTATTTTCATATATAATATGTTAAAATTCGCCTTCAACATTAGGAGATGTATTTGTTCCTTCGTGTGAAAGTTAATAAAGCATCCATATTCGTGTTTGACTCGTCGTGCTCCCACTTTTCCATGAATCTGTTCACTATGTGTTCTATATCACATACAAATCAAAATGTAACAGATAGAGGCTCAGTAGAACTTCATTGAAGACTTTGCGTTCAGCACGCTTCCAACATAAGACATTATTAAGTACGAAAGTGCTTCAAAGTGTTATTTTATTGATTATTATGACTTGAGAGTTGAGACTATGAGTTATGAACAGTCATCTGCTCTGTAAAGTTTGACAAGTTTATCATTTGTATATATGAGACCCATCACACATGTACTGTGACCTCCAATTCATGCCGCGGGGTCAGGATCACGGCATTCTGAGCATCTAGCCAATAGGTTCCTTAAGGAAAGTCCATAATCGAATGCGAGTTTTATTGCTAGTTCGGTAATATGGGAACTTAATTGGATAATGTACAGTATAGGGATGAGATTGGAGACCAAATTCTACAATTAATCATATATGTTTCCTGATTTAGTTGAATGTATTGATGGTGTTAAAGAACCCATGTGATAATTTGTCCCGTGACTAAGATGAACGTACGTACGAGTGTACAGAGTCACAAGCATAAAATGGTTGTCAATCTCTAGTAGTGCAATGCAAGTTTCGTGGATAAAAAGAGAGAAATTATCGAATAAACGCAAACAAATTCTGACGCGGAAGATGGGTGCGCTGACGAAATTGAGCAAATCCAAATATGAAAAGAAATAATCTGCTAACCAGCAGCAACAAGAAGCGATTCAAGAAACGGGATACCCGTGAATTGGAGCCGTCACTCCTTCTTCAAGGAGTCGTTGTACGCTTCGAGCTCCTCGTAATAAACATCCCACACGCA